GTCTCGAAAAAAAAAAAAAAAAAAAAAAAAAAAAAAAAAAAAGAAAGTAACTAAAAAAAGGTGGGCCTGGGACCAGAAAGATGGCTGCATGAGTAAAAAGAACTTGCTCCCAAGCCTGATGACATGCGTTCAATTCTTGGGATTCACATGGTAAAAGAAAAAAAAAAAAAACAACACCCACAAGTTGTCCTCTGATCCCACATGCATGCCCACAAACGTGTACAAGCACACACATATACACATGCAAAATAAATAAATGTGGTAAATTATAAACATAGCAAAACAAACAGCAGCAACAACAATAATAAAAAAACAGATGTAGTATCACATACTTGAAATCCTAGAAGTCGGATAGAAAAATTAGAAGTTTAAGATTATCCTGGGTTAATAATAAATAAATTAAACAGTAGGAGTTACTGAAAAAAGACCTTCCCAAACACTCTAAGAATAAAGGCAACTAGGGCCAGGCAGTGGTGGTGCACGCCTTTAATCCCAGCACTTGGGAGGCAGAGGCAGGAGGATTTCTGAGTTCGAGGCCAGCCTGGTCTACAGAGTGAGTTCCAGGACAGCCAGGGCTATAAGAGAAACCCTGTCTCGAAAAACCACAAATAAAAATTTAAAAAAGGCAACTAGGCAAACAAAAGGAAACGTTGGTAGAGGGGGACATATGTCTTAGTGGCTAACACACATAGAGCAGTGTTTGACAGAAAGCCCAAGGGAAAATTTGTAAAATGAAATAAACAAACAACTTCTATACGCTAAGAAAAGCATTGGGGGACTGGAGAGCTGGCTCAAGATTTAAGTATGAGTACTGCTCTTCCAAAGGACCAATGATGGTTCTCAGAAGTGCCTCTAACTCAGTTTTAGGGTTTCTGACGCCCTCGAGCAGTGAACACACAGATAAACGTGCAGGCAAAACTCCCATAAAACAAATCTTTATCTAAAAGAAACTGCAAGGCCTCTGGCCTCCAGAGAGCGCCTGCACTCACAGGCACCAACACAAAGACAAGTTATTAAAAATAAATCTTAAAAATAGCAAAATACTTTAAAGCAGCACTTCTTTCATCTTTACAACTCTGAGATGTTAGTATTTTGTCTTATGATGTTAAACAAGATTACGGGGACAACGTTTTGAAAGTGACAGCTAAGTCCCAGGAGCTGTCCTCAAACCACTACCTCAGAAGAGAGCGGTGGGTGTCCTACTCTTCTCTCTGCCTCCTCAGTTTTCTACACTAAGTGTGTATTAGTACGCCAGGCACGGTGATACAAGCCTGTAACACCAGGATCCCACAGGCAGAAGCAGGAAGACCAAGACCTTGTCTCAAAAAGAAAAAAAGAAAGAAATAGAAGCTAAAGAAATAAAGTACGCAAGCACTTTCCTTCAGATTTTCAGTAACAACTACTGTAAGTGCTTTGACCTTCTAAGCATCCTTTCCAGAGTGGCTTCAACAATTATTAGACATTAAATCCTCAGACCGTAGTCCTCCTATTTCCACTTCCAAAGAAGCTAACGTGACAGACAGCACCAGCTTAAGTGTGGAGTCAGACGTGATTTCTCATATCTGCCACCCTCTGGGGGAGCCATGGTGGTTAACCTCCTTGAACCCAATAGTTCTTTTGAATAAAACAGAGGCAATGATACCTGCCTCGGCAGACAGGGTTAGAGTACTAAAGTCTATGGGCTGATGGTTGTCAAGGGCTGATCAAATACATCATACAAAACAGAGGCCAGTAAACTGACACTTTACTGCGCTGTTGTCAGTTCCCGGTCTCCAGATTCCACTTCTTAGAATTTGTTTCCTCTCACCACAGGAGAGGAGTGAGATGTCATGGTTTTACTTGCTGTACAAGGCCAACCCCACAGAGCAAGCCCCTGACTCTGCCTGTTAGCAGACTTCTACATAAGCCTTCCTTTCTGAAGGTCTGCTGCGCCCTGCTTACTACAAAGGGATAGACACTTACGCTCGAATCTGATCCTCATGGTAAAAGATGTCCTGGATGGCAGCTTTGGCTTTGCCGTATCGCAAACGGGGCCTTTGGAAGACAGGCTCTCTCAGAGGCGGAAAGGCCTTATATATGTCATACCACAGTGGCTTCTCCTTCAACACCCCGGCCCGCATCAGATCCCTCGTCCTTAGGGAGGGAACAGAACCAAGATCAGTCGGTTACAACAGCTTGCCAAAGTCTCTGAATCAAAGAGCAAGCAGCCTGGTAGAGGTGGGCTGGAAAGGACCTCCCACCTAGAGGAGGCATGGCCAATACCCTCAGCAACCTAGCAAGGCCACAATGTTAAGTTCTGTTGGTTAGTTCTCAGGTAGCCTAGGTTAGCCTTAAACTCAGAAAGCAGCCAAGGATGGCCTCGAATTTAATGCTTCCCTGCACTTCCCTAGTGCTAGGATTACAGCGTGTCCACATAAGCTTTTTGTTTTGATAAAAGTCCGCCAGTAGCCTCACTGGCCTGAACTTCATTACGATGCCAGGTTAGCCCCGGTCTTGTGGAGATCCTCTTGCCTCGCCTCCCAAGTGTCGAGATTACGCGCATGAGCCACGACACTCAGCTTTAAGTCACTCGATCTTCTTGCACGGGTCCCAACCCCCAGTCCTCCCACTGTTCCAAAGAGGAAAAGCAAAGTCTGTCCGGTCAGGCCCTTCAGCCTCTTTATTGTAGAGAGTCTCAACCGAAACGGTGTGGCGAACACTATCTGACAGAACAGAAATTCAAGGGGACGTAGACAAACACACCGATTCCGTGCCAAGGGCATCACCCGGCTCGGACACCCGCAACCGCGTCCCCTCAGGCTATGCCAGGAGGGTCGTGACTCGCTGGGAACCCTGCCCTCTCCCAACTCGGAGCACGCACCGGGAAAACACGCTCCCCACCGTTTCCAGCCTGCTACCCGCCATGGCCAGTTGGGACAGAAAGTCGCTGCTGTTACCGGAAGCGGAAGCGGCAGCAAGCAAGCGAAGGGGGAACAAGCTGCTGGCCGAGCCGAGGATCACAGTCCTGCCTCAACGTCATCCGGAGGGCGGAACCAGGCAGAAGCAGACGCTGGGCTGAGCGGCTGCGCTCTGGTACTCAGTACGGGGGTCCAGACACGAACAATCGATTCCCGAGCCAAAAGAGCGGGAGTGCGCCAAAGCTGCGCAAGAGTAGTAAACGACTGGTCCAGGGGAAAGATTGAGTGTGCCGCCTGCTTTCTTCTTTCTAACTTTACAAAGCTTCCTCCTCTCTGGCAGGTCAGGCAGGGCGCAGGGAAATACAATGTGGGGCTCGCGGGGATGAGACACATCCTACAGTCAGGAGCAGGTAGCCAATCTGACATTTGAGGCCACCAGGCTCGACTGAACCTAATTTTAGCCACTCACATTACTCAGAAAGAAACTGAGACCCAAAGAGAAGCGAAGTAACTTTTCCAAGTGACACAAGCCTTCAGGCCTCCTCCCTCGGCCTTGCGCCTTAAGCGGGGCTCGCTGGAGCAGTCTGTTTTCCCACACTCAGTGAAAAACTGCCTGCAAGTAGCGATTCCTCCGCTGGAGGCGTCACTCGCCCGCCCGCTAGCGCTGCAGTTTTAAGAAGTGAGAGTCCAGAACTAATGCATTCGGAGAAAGAAATTAAAAATCTGGGGAACATAGTCTGTCACTGTTCAATTGTTCAAAGTATGGGTTTGGAGGAATATCCGTTCTTCCAAGGAGAAGCACTCCGTAGAAATTTCATCAGGGTATTTGTGCAAGGATCATCATTGTTGATTGTAGTGACGAGATTTAAAAAAACAAACAAACCAAAAAACAAACAAGCAAAAAACACATCGGGCTGGAGAGAGAGCTCAACAAGTTAAGAACACAGGACCCAGATTCGAGTTCTAGCACCTACAGGGTGACTTATAACCAGCTGTCACTCCAGTTCCCGGGGATTTGATGTCCTCTTCTGAACTCTGCAGGCACCAGACATATACATAGTGTACAAACTTACATGCACGCAAAATATTGATACACATAAAATTAATTAAAATTCATCATATGATCGGGTGGTGGTGGCTCATACCTTTAATCCCAGAACTCAGAAGGCAGAGGCAGGTAATCTCTGACTTTGAAGCCAGTCTGGTGTACAGATAGAGTTCCAGGACAGCCAGAAAAATGCTGTCTAGGAAAAAAAAAAAAAGAACAGCAACAACAAAAAGATATCTCATCAAATAAAAAGTAGTACAGGATGTGGTAGCACGAGCCTTTAATCCCAGCACTTGAGATGTAGGCAGATATCTGTAAATTAGAGGCCAGCATGACCTACATGGTGAGTTCCAGAAAAGCCAAGGCTATGTAGAGAGAGACCCTCTCTCAAAATAAATAAATCAGTGGCTGGAAAATTAGGGTTTGTGCATTCTATGAAACCCTATGCACCTAGTAAAATTAACAAGGTAGGACCATCTGTATTTACCTACCTAGATTAATGTCCATGGCTTGTGGTTAAATGAAACACTGCAGAAATACTTGGGTGGGAACTCTGTAAGAGGGAAAAACGAAAACATCCACAGGTGCCAGTGTTTGTGTAGGAGGAGTAAATCTGGGACTGTGAACTTCAGTTATCCCCAAGGACAAAAATGCAAGGGTGAATTCAAGGTTGTGTCCCCCATCCCCTTTATTCTAGTCTCAGAGTTTGCCTTGTAGAGAGTTTGTATTCATATGTAAACTCTTGCCCCAATGGATGTTTTGAATCACACACGGGGTCTCCAAGGAGCCCATTATCTTTCTTTGTCCTTAGGAAAGAGCATTAAGTCTTGTCAAAATCCTCCCACTCTAAGCGAGGCCCCAGAAAGGAAGGCAGCGAAAGTTTTCAGAGAGGTTGCTACTTTTGTTATCTCACTGATAACTCTGCCCACCCACAGGGTAGCTATTATCATCCTCATTATGGATGAGAAAGCAAAGCCACAGGAACTTAAGTACCTCTGTCTGATATGCAACTGATTGAACTCAGCCCAACCTGGGCACTTTCTCACAATGCCACCTTAACTAGCCTAAAACACCTTAACTTAAACTAACTAAACTAAACTTAACTTAACTAAACTTAAACTTAACTAAAAATGCCACCTTAACTAGCCTAAAGCAGAAGGCTGGGGAGATGAAAAGTTTTAACAAAACTGGCCTCTGTAGGCAGGAGATGCAATGATCGAGGCCTGGCCTGAGACGTAGGCGTCTCTGCTACCTCAAGATTCCGAAACAGAGTCTGGAGAGGTGGCAAAGCTGTTGTTACCTGCATATATTGCTCTTTCAGAGAACCTGAGTTCAGTTCCTAGCATGACAAGAGCCTGTAACTCCAACTCCAGGGAGAGCTGATGCCTCTGGAGTTGATGGGCACCAGCAGTGCTTGCACTACACACACAGTGGGGGGGGGGGAGTAAAAAAATAAAACAATTCATCCAGGTGGTGGTAGAGCACGACTTTAATTCCAGCACTTGGGAGGCAGAGGCAGGTGGATTTGAGGCTAGCCTGGTCTACAGAACGATTTCCCAATAGTCAGCGAATACACAGAGAAAACCTGTCTCAGGAAAAAAAATGTATGTATGTATGTATGTATGTATAGTATAATATATGTATATATTGATATATATTAAGTATATCATATATTAAATATAAATATATATTTATTTTTTTTAAAAAAGATGTGTGTCTTCAAGTCCACTACCTATAAACCAGAACCATATGTGTAATCTAAAAATGAAGAAAGAAAAGAGACTCTGACCCCTAGGTCAGCTGTGAAGGCTCAAGGTCCTAGTTCCTGAGGTCAGCTCTAGGGAATAAACATGCTTCTAGCTAAATATAACCTTCCCAGCCCTCAACAACTTTCTAAATCTGTCTGTTAGAGCTATCTGCTGGCCTTGCCTAAAGTCATACTTCCCTTCTCCCTCCAAGGCCTACTCTCGTAAGCTAGCACAGACCATGATGGGAAAGAATTGGAAAGGTTTATTCTAAGTTCATGGAGGAAAATCAAAGATGAAACTTCTCAATTCAGAAAAAATTACAAGTGTGTGTGTGTGTGTGTGTGTGTGTGTGTGTGTGTGTGTGTGTAAATTATCTTGGAGCAGTCCATCTTGAGCCTTTGAAACTTTCCATGCCATTTTTAATCCTTTCTGTAACAGAGAGAAAAGAATGTTGGTGGGCAGAGAGGAGGACTCGGGGATGTGGGGACTTGGCTGATCAGAAGTCCACACCCAAGATACCCAAGACATCTTCACTCGTAACACAAGATGAAGTTGTTGGGTAGCTGTGAATAGAAAGGCTGAAAGATTAGGCTGAAAGCGATGGGCTAGGGTACACAGTAAGTGCTGGCCAGCAACTGGCCTATGGAGGTGTCACTGTTATGAGGTCATCTGGGAGTGCAGCTGATGGCATCCCACAGATAGCCTTGTGGGAGATGCGGTGAGCCTAGCACCTCACTTGCAAGTACTTTACTGCTAAGTCCAACCTACCCCTTCCCTCTTCTCACGTTTTACTTAGGCAAGATCTAAGTTGCCCAGGCTGGCCTTATACTCGTGATCCCTCTAGTTTAGCCTCTAGAGTAGCTTGAATTGCAAGCCTTTACAAGACCTGAAATTGTTTTTTTTTTCCCCCTTGAAAAGTGATCCATTCTTTCCACTTAGCACTTAAACACAAGCTCTCGCCTGACTCTACAAGAGCAGTGTGTGTTCTAATAAACCATCTCTTCCGCCCTTTGCTTGTTTTTGCTGTTGTTGCTGCTGTTGTTTGTTTATAGACAGTCTCTATAGCCTGGCTGGCCTGGAACTTTAGAAATCTACCTGCATCTGCCTCCCCAGTGCTGGCATTAAAGGCGTGTGCCACCGTGCTGGTTGCGCTGGTGGTTTATTGAAATGGGCTGCGTCTAGAAATCCAGTTCTGTTGGTAGAGTGCTTGTGTAGTTCGCACAAAGCACAGCATCAAATGGAACAGAACATGATGGTGCGTAACAGTCATCCCAGGTCTCCAGAGGCAGAAGCGAGAGAATCAGAAGCCAAAGCGACTTTGAGGCCATGCTAGGCTATTTACGTCCCTGTCTTGGGACTAGGAGGGGACAATCTCACTACACAGTCTTATGTACACCGTGGCTTTAAACTCACTCTGTAGCCCAGGCTGCCCTCAAACATTCTGGAATTCTCTGACCTCTGTCTCCCTCTGTAGTGGTATTACAGGCACACACCATCACGTCGGTTGGTGCTGGGTATTTCTGTAGTGTGGTTCTTTACTTTGTAGTTGTCTGGCATCTCCCTTCGTCTTCACATGGTCTTTTCTCAGTAAGGAAAGATACGTGTGTTTTAATCTCATATGAGGACACCAGTGATATTGGATTAAGGCCCACCATTATCTGCTTGGCTCAAAACAATTGCTGCTTTAAAGACACAGTCTCGGGGACTTAGGGTCAGAACTTCTCTCTATGAACTGAATGAAGAAGAGGCGGTTCAGCCCATAGCATTGGTTAGCAAGAACTGAACACTCCCATTTGCCGGTTTATCATAGCTACATTCTGCTCCCCTTCATCTTACCCTGCACTGCAGGAGCCTGGCTTCTGTATGTGGGGTATGTCCACCATCTCCTCACTCTCTCTTTCCAGCTAGATTCTAGTTGAAAGCACTGGCAGGAAGTAGAAGGAAGGAGTGTGGAGGTGAGCTTTGTCCCACCTCCTCCTCCATTCCTGCACACTCTGAGAACGTAAGGTCTCATAGCCTACCCTGAGCCACTCAGCACAGCTATACCTCAGACCAGGCTCAGCTCACTGAACTGTGCTCTTGGTGTCCCGTCTACATACCCATCCCCACATGGCTTCCACATATTCCGCCAACGTCTGTGTAAATAGTGTCCCTGCTGAAGAAGTGCATGGGAATTTGTCAGACAAGAGAACACTGGAAATGTCGGCCTCTTGTCGAAATCATGAGAACTTCTAGCCTTGTGGGCTGGAGAGCTGGGT